CAGCCTCCTCTGTCCCTTCCTCCTCTGCCCACCTTGGCTTGGCCTGTGGGGAAGCATGAAAGAGGGGGTCTGCGCTGCCTCCAGCTGCACAGGGAATTGGGGGTGGGTCCGAGGTGGCTCCAAGGCATGGTGCCCATCTGAGTTATAACTGGGCCCGGTGCTGTTCCCCAGCATGACAGGGGACTGACCTTTAGGGACTCCCTGGGAACCAAGAGAAGCTCTGAGTCGGGAGGAAGGTTCTAGATGTCTAGATGAGGCCCAAGCCTTCATTCTTGGGCAGTAGAGGTGAGTCCTGTCCTGCTGCAGTTAGATGACCTGGTAGAACCGGGGCACATGGCCCAGTAGCCCACCTCAGCGGGCCAGGAGGCTCACCTGAGAACTGAGTGACAAGCGGACCCATGCCTCAGGGAGCAGGGCTGAGCAGGCCAGGCTGGGGTGACTGATGTAGTGGCGGGGAGGGTTTCTCTCTGGGCCCCGCAGCACCGTGGCCCTGTAAGGGGTGGATCATCTCCCCTGCCACACTGCCCCAGCCTCACTCAGCAGCCCCGACTTCACCTGCTGCTGAGATGGAAAACTTACGAGCTGCAAGGGCTCGTACTGGCCACAGGAGGCGCTGCTGGGTGCATGGGGCTGGCTCAGGGCACCGCTGCCCATGCTGGTCGGACAGCCCAGGCCTAGTGGCTCGTCCTTGCCAGCCCTCACCATCCATGGGCCTGCACCTCTGCTCTGGGCTGTCCCTCCGAGCAGCATTAAAGAATTTTCCCAGGCAGGGGAGAGCCATCCTGCAGTGCCTGTACACAGCGCTTTTGTATCCGGAGCTAAAAATCTAGGTCACTGCTGGTGAGATGGGCTGCAGGGAACAGTCCCTCCATTGCCTCCTGGCTCCTTGGTCAGATGTGCAAAGCCCAAGGCTGCCAGGCTCATGGTGGGCACGGGGCGGTGGGGCAAGGAGGACACAGTCCCTCAGGGCCTCCACCCAGCACGGAGGCCTTTCAGCTCATGCTGATCGCTCGGTGAGACTAGACGGGTCATGCCCAGCCCTTCCTCGCCAAGTCCAGACACTGAACAGCCTCCTCTGTCCCTTCCTCCTCTGCCCACCTTGGCTTGGCCTGTGGGGAAGCATGAAAGAGGGGGTCTGCACTGCCTCCAGCTGCACAGGGAATTGGGGGTGGGTCTGGGGGTGCTGAGCAGGCACTGGTCTCTCCTGCCAGCCCAGCCTGGGCTTTTCCCCACACTCCGAGCTAGCTCTGGAGAGCATCCCAGCTGTCCACACCACTCCTGCCCGACAATCAAAGCTGAGTCTGATCAGGCTTCTAGATCTGACCACTGGGAAAACAAAAAGTGACATCAACAGAGCTAATCACCAGAAGATCCACACTGGGAGAACCTTAGGACGTGTGTTCTGGTTCCTTCCACAAATGAGCTAATTCATGGGGGAGAGTGGCTGATGGAGATTTCAAGGGTGAAGGGACTTAGGAGATAAAGCAATCAACTTTAATACATGGGCCTAATTTAGTTACTGACTCAAAGAGACTAAAACAAAAGAGACATTTATAGGTCAACCGGGAGCCACATTATTCACCTCTAGCACACTGAGATGCTAGAGATGGCAGATGTCGGGGTGGGCGACGGAGCTGGGCTGGCTGTGCGATCTCCCTGGGGAGGGGCTGAGGGGGCCCAGGCTGCATTCTAACTTTCTTTTCGTATTTGCATCTCTTTGAAAATTACCAAGACAAACTCTAGGAGGAGAAGAGGAAGAGGAAGGGGGAAGAGAACAAAGAGGGGGAGAGTTGAAGGGAAGGAGGAGCGGCCATCTCAGGTAAGAGAGAGAGATAAATTAGTCACACACACAGAGACACTACATGTGTAATCATCAATCTTAAAGTAAATGGACAAAACAAGGTTTGGGGGGAAAAATCCTGAGCAAAGGAGTGGCTCAAGGGTCTGGAGGAAGACCCCTCCCTTTCCTGAGGAGAGAAGGAGGGAACTCTGAGGAGGAAAGGACCGGATTTCCATGACGATGTCTGCGCAGCCACGGAGTGTGTTCGCCTGTGCGCAGCTATTTCTGCAGAGAGCCTAGTCTGGGTAATACCCGCAAGACGCCTAATTCGGGGTAATTCAGGGAGTGATAAAAGTTTCCCCTGACTCTGCAGAGCATACCCTGGCCTTGGCTTGTCTGACCCACACGCCAAAGTGGCGGGCATTGCCTGCTCGGAACATCTATGCTCACGAGCGCCAGCCCAGGGCAGCCGCCTCGCCCCCCAGCTCTTCCCAGGCCGCCGATCCTGGGGGCCACTATCACTTGACTGGGGGGCATGGCACAGGCACAGACTGGGGGGCTGGGGGTGGAGATGGGCCCCTGCAAGCCTCCCTCTCTGGGTCCCTCCCTCCAGGCAGGCAGGGGGCACTCACGGTGCACAGGCAGCTTCTGTCCTCCCGGACGATGGCCCCGAAGCCCAGGAAGCCGGTGACCATGACCAAGGTGCCTGCGAAGATGAGGATGTAGGCAGAGGCGGCGAAGGTGCTGGAGGCCAGGATGCTCAGGTAACCGCTCTTCTCCACCAGGGTCCAGACGCCCACGGCCACCACGGCGGCCCCCCCCACCTGTAGGAAACCCAGTTAGAGCGGGGCAGTCTGGGGCACCCCGCCACTAGTGGAGTTCCTACCATGTGCTTGGCACGTCTTAGGGTCTCCTGGGGAACAGTTTGGGTACCCCATGGTACAGAAGAAGAAGGGGGGACTAGAGCAGTTGGGGGGCTGGTCTGGGGTCACACTCCTAGGTGAGCATTTTGAGTCTTGGTGTGCCTCCCCATTCCCTGCTTCTTAACACGAGAGGTGGGGGAGCTGTCGTTATTGTGGCACTAACGTGTTGGGGTCCCTTGGCCGCCGGACGGACTCCCAGCCACCTCTCGCCTTCCTCCTCCAGAACATTCCCTTGGTCTTGTGCACAGCTCTCTGGGGGGCACATTTCCACGCCCCTCCCACCCTCACTCAACCTGCATCTGCCCATGTGGGACACGTGACTGGGCTTCTCGTCTGTTCCATAGCAGCAGAGACAGAGGCCCACAGAGGAGCAGGACTGCCAAGGTCCTGCCTCTCGTCAGAAGCATCCAGGGCAGGGCCAGGGCTCAGCCTGGAGGGGCCTACAGGACAGTGGAGCAGAGGAGCGGTCTCCTTCGCTAACTGGGACCCATTCCGCCCTGAGAGAGGGCTGAGGCTAGGTGGATGCCTTCTCAGGAAGGGCACCCCAGAAACCTAGCGGGGGCGGGGTGCCTGAGCAGCCACATGCTTTCTGCAGTGAAGCTGGATAATCCTTGCTGTGACTGTCAAGAAAGAGACAGAGAGAGTGACAGTCTTCAAGGGGCCAGATGGGAACGATCAGGGGTGTCTGTTCAGGGTTTGGGGACGAGACCCTAAGACCTCAGATCATCTCTGCCATCTGCCTCCTGTCCAGGTTGCGTCCCATCTGGTCCCAGCGCCCCGCCCCATTTAAGGGTGCCTGTCTCCCTGCTACGGGTAGATGCTTCCTCAAGCGCCCCTGGGTCCTATGGGAGAAGCCCGGTGGTCTCGGGCTACACTTGCTGGGCCCGCAGGGTGCTCACTGGCCCCAGAATGACCACAACACCTGCCCTGTGACCACAGTTCTGGTTCCGGGCGTCGGACATCAGCTGAGCAAGGCGAGGTGAGGTCTGGCAAGCAGCGCACTCTCCCTGATGTCCTCAACTGATGAACATGGAGCCATATTCTGCAAGCTGGCAATAGCTCTGAGAGAGTGGGGTGGAGGCCGCATGGGCTCAGCTTGCAGACAGGAAAGACAGCTCAAAGAGAATAAGAAAGGGCCCATGGTGAGGCCAGTAGGAAGTTTCAGAGCTGAGATTCAAACTCTGGTCTTCAAGGTGCTCCTGGACTTTGTCCTAGTCCCACAGGGTGGGTGGGGGCGTCTTGATGTATCTGTTTTCTTCAAAAAGCCACCTCACCCCTCAGCACCTCCAGAGACATGTGGGGACACACCCCAGCCTGTCTTGCTCTGCATGGAATGAGAAAGGCCAAGGCACCTGGCTTCTTTCATCGCAACCAGACAAATCCCACCTTGACATCTAAATTTGAGGTGCCTGGTGCGGTCAACGGTATCTTACAATTACACTCGGCACAGCACTGTTAGGGCCACAGAAGATAATGGTGCCTTAGAACGGATACTGCCTTAGATCTGACGGCATCTCTGACTCACACCATCTCCAACCCAAGAGCAATGTCCTGGGTCCGGTTCCACGAGGGTTTGCCACACGTACTCGTCCTGTCCCTACAGCACGCCAAGATGGCTTGGGTGAGGGTCCCACTGCACGTGGCCAGCTGTGTGACCTGAGCACAGTGGCTAACCCTCTCTGGGCCCAGCTTTCTACATCTCTTACACAAGGGGGTGACATGAGACCAGAGGTTCCCCACCTAGCACCACCAAGGACCCCTCTGGCTATTATCTCACGGGCCCTTTGGTCTGAGGGCTGCTGTCTCCTAAAATACATTGCACTAATTCCGTACTCATTCATTTCTCATTTTTTATTAATCAAAGGCACACGGTAGTGCCAGGAAGAGTCTGAACAGCATGAAGTGTGACACACTGAGTGGTCTGATGGCACTAAGAAGCCGAGGAATTTGGCATTCAGTGGGAGCAGTTATTCTATAGAAACAGGCATGTTAATGTGCATAGCCATTAACTACTAGGTCTGTCTAGGCAAACCCCAGCCCCTCCATCCAGAGAGCAGGCTGAGCCCTGGACAGGGGCCAAGGGGCACATTCAGATTGGACTGGGGGTGCTTCGGGGGGACATGAAACCCACCCACCCACTGAGAATCTGACTCAAAGCTTGGGGCGCCTGGCCCGAGAAACGGTCATCCCCAGAGGCTCGTGGGCCGCAGCTCCAGCTGGTACCACCCACAGGTGGTCTCTGAGGCCACATTCGCCTTGACACCCTCTGAGGTGGTGTGTCTCAGCCGGGCGGTCGCACACTCTCCAGGGAGCTCTGAAGATCCAGGCTCCAGATTTCTATTTGAGAAGGGCCTCGAGTTGATACTTCACAGGGGCCAGAGTGTCTTGTCCTTGTGCTCACAGTAGGTGGTGCTGTGCAGAACCTCACAGAACACCCTGCT